TTCCTTTCCCCTTGTATCCGTATCCATGTGGAGCTCAAGGTGATGTTTAGCTTTAAAAAAACACCCTTTTATGGCATGGCATTGTTCAAACAGCTCCAGTTCACCCATGGGAATTCTCATCTCACTCCCCACTTTCTCCAGCAGACCAGGAATACAAAACAAAATTCCAAGCCAGAATTCCTTTCCCACGCCGGCTTGGAGCTTTCCCCACTTCTTATCCTCCACAAACCCTTTGGGATGCCCTTATTCCCACCCTCTCACCCCTTCTTCCCTCTGCCTGAGCGCAGGATATTCCAGCAATAATCGTCGTTTCGGGATAAGATTGGAATAATTCCATGATCCGTAGGTATCCTGCTTTTATATATCCACATCCTATCGAGCCTGCTTTGGGGGTTCTATATTTTTTTATACTTTCACAACACTATTCACGTTTGGTGTCGCTGGAAATGGGATTAAAAACACACCGGGGGGTTTGGGGGTGGTGTTGTTTCTTGAAATATTGGAAAAGTCCAGACCTGGAACGTGGGGGCTAAAACGAGCAAATCCAGGTTTCCTCGGTATGGAAAGGGGCTCATGCTCCTTGTTGAGGTGATGGAATGATGTGGATCCAGTGGGAGAAATCCCGGTGTGGATTTTATACAATAAAACCAGCGATTTTTTTTTTTCTATGGGGTAATTTTGGTGTTTTTGCTCGTTCTCTGGGGGGACCGAGTCGTGCCCAACCGCCACTTTAGGCCACTCCTGGTATGTGTGTGTGTGTGGGGGGGGTGTTCAAATTCCCCGCGGGGTGTGCCGGGGCTCCCAGTGTTCCCAGTAAGGCTCACCACGGGGAATTAAAGGAATATTTCATCCAAAGGGCACTTTTGGGTGAGATTTCTTTGTTTCAGACACTTCCACCACAGGGCCCCCCCCAACATGGCGGCGGTAGCAACATGGCGGCGCTTCCTGCCACTCCCCCCCACCATCAGGTGCCCTTCTCAACATGGCGACACTTCCCGCCCCTCGCCCTTCCCAAGATGGCGCCGCCCCCGTTTCCGTCTCCCGCCCTCCCGCCCATGGCGGCACTTCCGGAGTCAACATGGCGGACGTGCTGGATCTCCATGAGGCGGGCGGGGAGGATTTCGCTATGGACGAGGACGGGGATGGTGAGCGCGGGGCTGAGGCGGCTCCTGCGGGACCCAAGACACCCCGGCGACCGGTCCGGCTGGGCTCCGGCCCGGGGGAGCCGCTCCCGCGGCCTCTCGCCGCGACCCCAAATTCCGGGACGGACCCAGTGTGGGGGGGTCATTCCCATCATGGGGAGACGGTCCTGCCTTTCCTGGGGATGGTCCCTGCCTGTTCCAGGGGGGTCCTGTCCAGCCCGGGGGGATCATTACTATCCAGGACAGGAAGGGGGGTCCCTGCCCACCCGGGGGGGGTCCCACTCCCCCCGACTCCACAATGTCCCCCTCCAATTCCCGCCTCCTCCTTTCAGAGAGCATCCACAAGCTGAAGGAGAAAGCCAAGAAGCGGAAGGGCCGCGGCTTCGGTTCAGGTGAGGCCCCCAAAAACCCTTCCCCGGCACCCTGGGGGAGGGCAGGGGGTGACACCCACCCCTGGGGGGTTGGGGAGCCCCGTTATCCCATCGTGTCCCTCCTTTTTCCAGAGGAAGGATCCCGAGCACGGGTGCGGGAGGATTACGACAGCGTGGAGCAGGATGGGGACGAACCAGGACCACAGAGATGTGAGGGGGGACATGAGGGATGGGGGGGACATGGAGTCCAGGGCTCAGCCCTGCTGGGATGATCCTTTCCCCCTTTCCCAGGATTTATGGACTCTGGGGCTCCATCTCCCCTCCCCAGCTGTGCAGTCTGGGGGGGATGCTCTCTCTTAGGGGCACTTCCACGTGGGAAGGAGGAGGAATGGGGGGGTTCCCGGGCATCCTGGCACCCCTCCAGCCCTGTAACCCCCCCTTTTTCCACCCCCCCCAGCTGTGGAGGGCTGGATCCTGTTCGTGACGGGGGTGCACGAGGAGGCCACGGAGGAGGACGTGCACGACCGCTTCGCCGAATTCGGGGAGATCAAGAACATCCACCTCAACCTGGACCGGCGCACGGGATACCTCAAGGTGGCCTGGGGCGGGGGGCTCAGGGGGGCTGGGGGGTGTCCCACCCCCCCCCTAGATCAATTTGGGCTTGTGGGAGGGTTGAATTAGTCTGGGCTCGGAAGTCCTGAGGGTTCACCCCAAAACTGAGCCTATTTTTGGGGCCGCCAGGGGGAGGGACTCTGCACCCCAAAAGTGACTGGTTTGGGGGGTCCCTGCCCCCCAAACCTGAGCCGGGGGTTCCCGTGGTGCCCATGCTTGTTCCCATTCCCAATCCTAATGGCATTCCCGATCCTGTCCAGGGCTACACGCTGGTGGAGTACGAGACCTACAAGGAGGCGCAGGCGGCCATGGAGGGGCTGAACGGGCAGGAGCTCATGGGGCAGCCGGTCAGCGTCGACTGGTGCTTCGTCAGGGGCCCCCCCAAGGGCAAGCGGAGGTGAGGGATGGGAATTCCGGGAGCTGGGAGCGGGGAGGGACCCCCGGGAGCTGGGGGGGGGGGAAAGGGGGCCGTGCCCTGTGCTGTGCTGGGGAGGGGCTGGGGTTAAAACAGGGATGGACATGCCAAAAACGCTTTCTCTCCCTTTTCCCCTTTCCCTCATCCCCTTTTCCCCCGTGCTCTTCTCCCTTTTTTTCCCCCTCCACATTCCCTGTTTTCCAGGGGTGGGCGCCGGAGGAGCCGCAGTCCCGACCGGCGCCGCCGGTGATGGATCCAGGCTCCCACCCCGCTGTGTTCCCAGTCCGAACTGGGCCAAACTGGGAAAACTGGGGGGGTTTGAACACAGACAGGTTTGAGGGGCCAGACCGGCTCCAGCCCTTGGGAACTGGCGGTTTGGGGGAATTTTATTGTTTTCAAAGGACAAACGTGAGGGGAAGCAGCAGCTCCTCAGGGTTGGGGGTGTTCCCCCCCTCGGGTCTGGGGGGATCCCTCCCATCCCAGCACATCCCAGGAGTTTTTTCCCTACCCCAGGCAAACGTTCCCTCGGGGAACTCCCGTGGGGTTTATCCCACTGGGGAAACCCTTATTTTCTGTTAAATAACATTTTTTGTGTAAATTTGGCTTCTTGTCCTTTGTCCTTTGTTAAACTAGCCCCTCCCCTGGCCCTTTCCCTAAAATCCCTCCCCATCCCATCTGCTGGATCCCTGAGGATCCCTCCCAGCCTGGACCTTGGAAAAGCCTTTTTTTTTTTTTTCTCCCCTTAAAACTGGCATTGGGAAGCCACAGCTTTTAGGGGGACAACCCAGCAGGCTCCTCGTGTCCAGCTGGGACTGGGTGGGATCCCCCAGATGTGCCCCCAGATGTTCCCCCCACACACACTCTGAGCCGCTGAGCTGCACGGGGGCCTTTATTGAAGGACACCAACAGCCCCCTCCACCCCCCAAAACCGGGGACCCCCATCCTGGGAAGGGGAGGAGGGGGTGGGCTGTGTGCAGACCCCCAGCCGTGGGTTTAAGGGGCAAAGCTGCTGAGGGGATGAGGAGGGAGCAGGAGGAAGATGCAGGGAAACAACCCCCCCACTCCCGAGGGAATTTGGGGGGGTCGTGCAGAGTTTGTGCCGACAGTGACGGAGGGGCCACGAGGCCCCAGGTGGGCTCAAAGCGAAGGGGGGTGCCGGGCAGGGGGTCCCGGGGGTCTCTACGAGCCGGGCTCGGGGCCCAGGGCGCTGCGGAAGGCCACGAGCTCGGGCTGCATGGAGTGTCGGCGGCGCAGCAGCGCCCGGGGCGGCCCGGGGGGCAGCGGGGGCAGCAGCCCGGCCCTGCCTGGCCCGGGGGGCTCCAGGCACAGCGTTCCAGAGCCGCGGCGCTCCAGCAGCCCGCCCGGGCGCCGCAGCGGCCCTGGGGGAGCCCCCTCGGGGTCCAGGGGGTCCCGGCACAGGGGTTTGCCCCGCGGCGGGTCGGGGGCCGGGGCTTGGCGCGCCGTGGGGGGCACGGGGGGCGCCCGCTCTGCCCAGGGCAGCCCCGAGGCCTCGCGGCCCTCCACGCTGTGCCGGCGAGGCCGCAGCCCCAGCCCCTCCAGCCGCTCTGGCGGGGCCCTCGTCCCTTCCAGGGCTCCTCGTGGGCCCTCCGGGTTACCCCACGAGCCTTCCGGAGGGCCCCGCGTCCCGTCCAGGCTTCCCCGCGCCGTCCCCTCGGCCCCCGGCACCGCCAGCCCCCAGGGCTCCGAGTTGAGCCTCTTCAGCTGCCTCTTGGGCCCGGCCCTCGGCGGCTCCGGAGCGGCGGCCGGCGCGGCCGGTGGGAACTGGAACACGTCGCGCTCCTCGTCCCTCCCGCCGGCGCCCGGCGACGCCCGCACCTGCACCTGCGAGGGGGACGCGCAGAGCGCGGGCGATGGCGGCGAGTTCAGGTACTGGCGGGTGGTCTTGGTGCCGCGGGGCGAGGTGGCCGAGGTGATGATGATCACGTCGCGGCCGCGCTCCCGGCACGCGTCCAGCAGCACCTGCAGCGTCTCGCGGTCCCCGCGCTCCAGGGCGTACACGAGGGCCGAGCCGCCGGCGTAGTCGCGGGCGCTGGGGTCGGCGCCGTGGGCCAGCAGCACGGCGGCCACGGCGGGGCCGGCGCGCTCGGCACAGGCGTGCATCAGCGCCGTCCTGCCCGCCTTGTCGGGGATGTTGGGGTCGGCGCCGTTCTCCAGAAGGTACCGCACCATGCGCGGCTGCTCGGGCGGGTCGGCGTAGCCGGCGCGGCACGCGGCCATCAGCGGCGTCGTGCCCGCCGCGTTGCCCTCGTTGATGTAGGCGCCCCCCTCCAGCAGCAGCCGCGTCAGGCGGAATTTGCCCTGGGACACGGCGCGCAGCAGCGCCGAGCCCTCCGCCGGCACCATGGCCAGCCCCGGCGCCAGCGCGGCCCCCGGGGGGCGGCGGACGGGGCTGGGCATGGCCGGGCTCAGGGGCGCGGGCACGGGGGTGGCACCCGCTCACTGCGAGGGGGGATGGCGCGGGGTGAGACCCCCCGAGCCCCCTGCTCCCTGCCTCAGTTTCCCCAGCGAGGGGGGGTTGCCCTGGTGCTGAGCCCCCTCCCACGTCCCCCCTGCCTGTACCCCCACCCCTTGCCTGCACCCCCAAACCCCCCCCCATGCCACCAGCCCCTCTCACTCCCCATATCCCTTCCTCCACCCCTCTTCGTTCTCCTCATCCTCCCGCCTGTGCCCCCCCTGCATCTCCCCTGCCTGTGCCACCCTCCTGCCCGCACCCCCATCCACGCCGGTCCCCCATCCCTGCCCGCGCGGTTGCCATGGCGACGGCCGCTCATCCCGCTCCTCCAGCCCGACCGGCCGGGAAAATGGGGGGGAATCCATCGCCCCCCCCAGTCCCCTCAGCCAGACACCCCTGAGCCCGGGCCTGGGGCCTGTGCCTCGTGCTGCCCGGGCAGGGGGGACACCCCACAGCGGGGACCCCCCACCCCATCCAGCCCTTCTCGCCCCTCCATCCCCCCGTTACCGTGGCAACAGGAGCGTGGGGTCCCTCCGCTCCGGGTCGCGGTCCCCGCAGCCCCGGGGATGGGAGTGTCGGGGACAGCGGCCCGTGGCCGCCATCCCGGCCCGCCGCCGGTGCGGGGGGGGCCGGGAGGTGATGTGGAGGGTCCCCCCCCCTCCCGCAGCGCTATTTTTGGCAGCTGCCGGCGCGGGGGGGGGGGGGCTGGAGCAGGATGAATCACCCACGGCGCAGTCAGCGCCCGGCGCCCGGCCCTGCGTGGGGGCGAGGGGGGCCTCGGGGGGCTGGGGGGCACAAGAGGGTGGCGGGGGGCCGGTGGGGCTGGGGGCCGTGGGGCGGCGGGGCTGGGGGCCATTGAAGCATCGGAGATTCGGCGAGCTGTGGGACAGCGGGGCTGGGGGCACAGCACAGCGGGGCTGGGGGGGGGGTCACATCACAAGTGGGACTGGGGGTCCCAAAACAGTGGGGCTGGGGGGCAGAGCACAGTGGAACTGGGGCCGCGGGGGGCCGGGGATCAGCGAGATGCCAGTCCCGGGGGGGCTGAGCTGTCCCAGGGCACAGGGGCTGGGGGGCATCCGGGGGTGGGGGGGCCCAGGGGTCCCTTTGCCCCCTCCCTCGGCCCCGTCCGGAGCCCCCTCCCCATCCACCCGCCGGCCCCGCCCCTCGCCACGCCCCTTGTTCTGAGCTGCCAATCAGCGCGGGGCTCGAGGCCAAGCCCCGCCCCTTCCGCGCGGGGCGGAGCCGCGGAAGTCGCGGACGCACGTGGGGCGGGTGCGCGTGCGCGGGGTGAGAGCGGGACCGGGACCGGGAATACCGGGAATACCGGGGATACCGGGAATGGGACCGGGGATTCCGGGAATGGGACCGGGAATGGGGGGCACCGGGAGGGACCGGGGGTACCGGGTGGGGGGACACCGGGACCGGGAGGGACACCGGGACAGAGGGGAATCGGGACCAGGGCGGGCACCGGGACCGAGGGAGTGACCGTGGCCGGAGCGAGGGGTGAACGAACTGGGGAGCGGGACAGGCCGGGGCCGGGGAGCGGGACTTGGGGGGCACACCGGGAGCGGAGGCCGGGCCGGGGGTGTCACTGTGCCCTCCTGTGTCCCCCCCCCAGCGCCCCTCCCCGCGCCCAGGATGGCGGGCCGGGGCCGGGGCCGGGGCCGGGGGCAGATGACGTTTAACGTGGAGGCCGTGGGCATCGGCAAGGGGGACGCGCTGCCCCCGCCCACGCTGCAGCCCTCCCCGCTCTTCCCGGTGAGTCCGAGCACCGACACGCTCGTCACACCCCCGTGTCCCCCCTCACTCCACGCCGGACGGGGGGGGGCTGAGCACTGACACGCTCATCACACCCCCGTGTGTCCCCCCCAGCCCCTGGAGCACCGCGCGGTGCCCCTGCCGGGGGGCGAGGAGGGCGAGTACATGCTGGCTCTGAAACAGGAGCTGCGCCGGGCCATGAGGGGCCTCCCCTACTTCATCAAACCGGGGGCTCCCCGCAGAGGTACCGGGACTTGGGGGGGGAACTGACTTCCCCCATCACTGACCATCATGGGGGGGGGTCCCACGGGGGTCCCATCCCCCCCAGAGTGACCCCCCCCCGCTGTCCCCCCCCAGACATCGAGCGCTACTCAGACAAGTACCAGCTCTCCAGCCCCGTGGACAGCGCCATCGACTGGAGCCCAGGTGGGGGGACACGGGGGGGTGGGGGGGACACGGTGACATGAGGGGGCTCAGGGGGGGCTGACCCACCCACCCCCCCTTTGCCCCCCCCTTTGCCCCCCCAGACTGGCGGCGGCTCCCGCGGGAGCTGAAGATCCGCGTGCGGAGGCTGCGGAAAGGCAGTGAGTGACCCCCCCCCCCGTGCCACCCCGGGGGGGGTGACAGTCCCCTGTGCCACCCCGGGGGGGGTGACAGTCCCCTGTGCCACCCCGGGGTGGGTGAC